CAGCTTCTACTCTATCGCGCGAATACTCTATCTTGCGAATTGTCGCTTCAACCTGGCTGGATATGCCGCTTCTCGCGTCTCTACTTCCTGGTTAAGCTCCCCCCGGCTAAAGCTCTTCCGAGAAGTGATCGCTGCTCGTGTGCCGTATTATAGATAGCAAATCCTCCCTCATTCCAATTTGCTTTATCCTCACTTCCGGAGCCAGTTTGCGGGCTTCCTTGGGATCTGTCAGAGAAAAGGCCAGATGTCTAGCTCGCAGCGTGCTGAGCGATTCCCTTTCGCCTGTGCCCGTTTCACTCGCTGCTATTAACGATAATGTTGCCGTTGCTGCTAATGTCGTTGCTCGTTGGCGACAGTGCGCGCGCGCAAACAAATACACCCGTTGTAAATTTACATAGTAATAGCGGCGCCTAGCTCCAATCTCACCGACCGCTTTTCCGCTCCAAGATTCTAGGCTTTACGTCGACTGTTGCGATCACTCTTATATTCCTTTACTATCGTGATTTCTTTTCCTCCCGTTCCTATACACACTCCTCTTCGGCGAAACTCCGATCGATATGCTATCGACGTGCTATCGACGTAGGCGTTTATAACCAACCAGTTCTAGAAATTTTAACTGATGATTTTTCCAAGACTTTTAGTAGACTCCTCGAATTCTTCAGCTTCGGCTTCTTCTTTCAACTATAACACGTTCTATCACGGAGGTGATGCAAGTGTAAATTCGTCGACGGACGAGAATAGACTCCGTTCTCTGCTGATGCGACCGGTCGATAGATGCGTACTTCTCGGCTCTCCGACGACTAGTAGGTCTGGTTCCACCGCGGCTTTAAGCAGCATCGACCAGAACCCACGAGTGAACAACACCGTTGTACGAGCCAATGGAGAGACAGCTAGCCCCTCTAACCACAATGTCGCACAAACTTGCGCGCGAACATGTGGCTTTCCTCGAATCGGATATTCATCGTAAAAATTACAAACAATGAAAATTCACTAATGTGAACTTCTCGCAAGGTCATCATAAAGTATTTAAAAAAATGTCTTATCTTCCATCTGTGAAGTTACTCTCTTTCGTTGACCTTTTATTACTGCGAGTATTCCTACAACTATATCTCATTAATGGTCTACTATATATTGTATATAACATAAACTTTCGTTAACAGAAATGATTTACTTAAGTATTTTTTAAACGAAATTTTTATTCAATTCCTTGCTACCGCAAACTCGACAACTTATGCTATTAACGATGCTCTAATACATATTTGATTAGCATAAAAACTGCATACATTACGCACGCTTGATGAAACCAGCTCGGATTTTTCTTGGCGAATCATACGTCCAAAGTCCACGGTTGTTTTTCCTATTTTCACGTAATCGTTTGGCAAACGACCATCCATGGCGCGTGTATTCGGCGTCATTGAGTTAAATGAAGAGATGCCGGATCACTAATGTCCTGACCCGCTGGGTTACATCACGTACGCCAATATATGGAGCAACTTGTTCGTATAGACAAAACTGAACTTTGGAACCTGTTTCGGTGACGCGTCAAAATAACCATTAACTGAAGGAAAATGGCTCTTACCAAGAAAATCCTTTACGTACGTATTATAAATTAATATTAGAACGCTGAAATATATACCTGTGCATGCGTATACACATATAAAAATACACATGTAAAAATATCGCTTTTTGTAAATATTCTCATGAAATAATGATTAAAATTTTGTATAAAATATAGAATAATTTTTTGAAATAAGTATTGTTTGCAAATTAGCTATAAATAAATATGTCAAGACGTTAAAGCGTATGAAACAATTTAATTAAAAATATAATAAACGATTTAATTAATAATTTAATATTATAATTAAGGAAATAAGATAAATCGTGTTTCGTAAAGCTTGCTTAATAATTAATAAAAACTATTCAACATTATATTCGTACTTAAATTTCATACTTTTATTATGTTTTACGAGTATTTATGTTTTTCTGTACATAAATTTTTATTATAAAATTTTCTGAAATTATGGTAATACATATTTTTCGTAAAATTAATCTAAATCTTTTAGAAATTAACAAATAAAGAATACCTAAGTATATCTTATTTACAATAATATTTTTGTAAATTATGACGCCCGTGGCATTAAATTTTTCTCTATACCTACGTAAATAAACGTCACATATGTAGTTTATGAGATGATAAGGGGAAAGTACATCAAACTTGTATCTACACGTGATAAGTGCTTCTCATTTACGTGATAGAGGTCATACATGATTAACTTTACAAAACAAATTTATAAAACTGCAAAGTAGCAACTTGTTTCGAAATGCTTAATAAAGGCAGATTTTATTCATCAACACATATTGTAAAAATAAATAAAATTTGATTGTTTTATGTATAAAAATACAATTTTTAATCATAGAAAAATTATCCTAAAAAATTTACCATATTTAAAAAAAAACAAAGAAAGAATATTTTATTTTCACAGAAAAGAAATTATGTGATGAAAATAATTAACATATATATATGTTCTATGTATTAGTTGAAATATAAAATTCTAGATAAAGCGACGTTATATAAAAACTCATTTTCATTTGTACATACAATCCCTCACATTCTCGTTAACCTTTAACTCACGAGAGTTTATTGATACAATGTGCGTAATATATATTAGTCAATGGTCAATTTGAATTCCAGCATTGTCAACGTACCGGGAAATAAGTGGGAGGTCAGGTCTGTACTCTGTAGACAGTGTCCCTAAGCAGATTCTTAAATTATATATCTGAGAAAATAATAAAATATGTATTGTACTTGGTGTATTCATATGTATGTACATGTATGTATATACTTAAGGAAACATGGCTTTATTATGAATCATTGATTTATTGGATCAGCTACTTAGATACGTTATTAAAACAAGAAAAGTTCATATATATTTCTAGCATAAGTATGAAAACATTTCTCAATGAGTAGACAGAATGGAAATTCCAGTGTGTAACTCTCTTTGAGACACATGAAACATTAACACAGTATATAAACTGGGGAAATACTCTCTGCTTTTACAATTTATACATTTTCAAGAATTAGCAAGATTAAATAAATTATTTTTCAAACAAATTTCTTTATAATTTAGTACACAATACAGAACATTTTAAATATAACAAGCTATACATATATATGATATTACGAGTAGATGTTTCATCTACAATTTCTTTAATTTTTATTGTATTATATTTTAAACACAAATTAGATATGTAATATCCAGATTGAAAATAGGGGAATGTTACAAATTTATCATAGAATTAATCAATAGCGTTTAATTTGTTATCAAAAAATGTATATTTGGAGGGAGAAATAGGTTGTCCCTGTTATCTTTGGCTTAACTTCAGATCAAAACTATCAAGGCTCGTTATTGACGAACTCTATTTTAAAATGATTGTCACCGCGAATATTTATGTATATATACAGGCCTGCAGTCACTAATGTCCATTAACTACAATACAACAGAGTCTCTATAGAATAAAGGCTGAAATAAAAGATCGCATTCGACCATTGTTCTCAAAAAATATTCGTGAAACTAAAGTATGAATCAAAATAATAGATCTATCATATAAGAAAAAGATTATACATAAATGCTTTATTAATAAAAATTATGATTAAAAAATAATCAATTTTATATTTTAGATTTATTTATATTTTAATTTAAAAAAATTGAGTAAAAATATTCATACAATATACTCTGAATTAAAATCATTGAAAATCAGGAATTCATGTAATTTGTACTGATGCAAAAGTATTTTTCGTTATATTATTACATTTAGAAAAATCTATATGTATCTTTCTCTCTCTTTGGTATCCTCAACCTTTTAAAAAAATGTCTTATTTAAGAAATATATCAATTTAAAAAAAAAATCATTTCTGTTCTTGTATATAGGATACACTACTACATGTTATGACTCGCAAGATTGTTGCTGAATATAACATTTGATGTAAGGCTGTAAAAGCTTTTAGATTGTAAAATAAAGAAGATAAAATTATAAAGATAAAAGTTAATACAAATGCAACAATAGCAGTATTTATTATGTAATGTACAATTATAGTATCATTAAGAGGGTATACTACCTTTGAGAAAAAAAAATCGATTTTTTTTATTTGCTTAAACGATTCTTTAAAGTGTCAAGAATATAATTTCATTCGTTAGAATGGGTTCTGAAAAGCTGTTTATGAGTAAAATAGCCGATTTTGTACAAAACATCTTAGAGCGCTGTAAACACCCCTAAGCGCTCTCGAAGCAGCTCGGGAAAATCGCAGACAAGTCATCTCGAAAGCTGACAGATAAAAAGGATTAATTTAGGAGGGCAACTGTATGACCCAGGCATTGCCGATTAAAGGTGAGTTCTAAATATTTATAAGTTTTCTTTTTGCAAAACTTTAAACACGATTTTCTCGAAAGAGTATTTTTCAAATTGGCGTGCAGCGTATCTCCCGCAATTTACATCCGATTAACTTGAAATAAAGCTTAAAACATTCGTAATTAAACATTCTATGGAAGTACGTAGCCGATTTTTGATACAAGTTTTAGATTTCTTTGGGTACCCGTTTTGTGCACGAATTTTTAATGAAAAATTTGATCTTTTTATTCCACTAAACGTAAATTACTCAAAAATTAATTCTTTCCAAAAATACTACGTATTTCCCTAAAAAAACATTAGAGAATATTTTTTTTATTTTTTGTTCTAGATTAAATCGTTCAACCTATAGCGTGCACGCCAATTAGGAGTTCTCATTATGCACGATCACCTTTGGCATCATCTACAGAGAATTGAGTCTAATATTTTTGCTCAAAAAATTAGTTCTTCAACTTTAAACTACAATAAATCCAACCCTTAAACCCATTTTTAGTTTTGTCTATTCTTTCTGCCTGAAAAAAATTCCTGAAAAATCTATTTTTTCTGTGTAAAAGGTGGTATACTCCCTTAAAGAATGGGAGACGCGATTAATGTAACCGCACGTCACAATAAATATATGTACATATATTATTTAGAAAATTCCAATTGAATGCGCAAGACCTGCGTAAATATGCAACGTTGTTGCGCCGATGAAAAAGGTAGTGATCGCTTTAATAATAAGTGTTGACCATGGACCAGCTAATAAAAAGGATGAAAGAATGTCTAGTATGAGTGGCCTGTATACTATAAGTATAAGCATACTAACTACTATAGGAACTAAACTACGACGTAAATCATGTCTAGACCACAACCAAACCAATGTTGCGGTTGTTATGTGCTGCACCTGTTAAGAAGAAATCATAAACTTAAATTTTCTTGCATTTGTCAATTTTTCATTATAAAGCATAAAGATTACGAATTTTTACCAAATTGATATTTGATTCAAGACTCTTTTGAATGTATTTCCAATCAAACTCAGCACCACGTGCTCCAACCCAGAGCAACAAGAATCTTGTAAGCAGCACTTCAGCTCCTGCCCAACCTATACCAGCAGTTAATACCTTGGCATGACCTTTGCCAGGTATACTATTTAGTACTAACAAAATTCCTACCAAGTCTGCCAGATCAATGGATGACTTTAAAAATTCCTAAAAAATATTTTTTTATTTAAAAAAGGATGCAAACATTTATAGTAGAAAGTAAGAATAAATTAGAATCGTTATATCTACATACTTTTAGACAATATAAAATAAATGTGATAGAATGGCCATGTTCGAAGCTGGACAAAACTATTAGCCTGCTTGCCGAGTGATTGATTGTGATTTATTAGATTTATAAGTACCCAGTCAATCAGGTCTGTTGAAAACAAAATTTGTTAAATGCTTGATATACACAAATATTGTCAACAAATAGGCACTAAATTTGATGCAAATTCTGTTATATTCGATAATATCAGCAATTTGGTGACATACATAGTATACAAAAATTTTAAAATCTGTTAACATAATCTATATGTCAGCAATAAGCTCATATTTTATTAACCAAGTTTGCTCCCAAAAAATCACACTTTGAAAGAGCTAGGGAATTGCTCAAGAAAATTCGCCAACTTGTCTTCTTATACAGAACTTCAAGATGTTTTTTTTTATAAATATATTTATCTCAGGGTACATGTAAGGAAAGATCAATTTAAATAAAAATGATCGATCTTTTACTCAGTTTTTGTTACCAATTTGCTGTCAAATTATGTTAGTAAATTTTTTTACATAGATGTGCTAACATTTTGTCGACATCATCTGATAAATCATATTTTATATTAAATTTGTATTCTTCTTACCAATAAAATTTGTAACAAGATTTTGCGAGACCTATTTTTCGAAGGACTTGACTACCTGTCTCCAACATTCAACAGAGAAGTAAAATTATCAAGGCATAAATGTGCAAAAAAATACACAATAGATTTTGTCAGAAATTAAAAAAAAATTTGAAAATGATGCAATACCAACAATGCAAAACACATTTGCCTCAGCTGAATCATCAAATCAGACTGTAAACTTGCTACCTGATTATGGTGACATGACACTTGATGCTAACTTGATGATAAATTTGCTGTCAATTTGTTCATCAGATAAAAACGAATTATGCTTAATTGTTCGACGAACAGGCTAACTGCTTTGTCAGTTTAAACACATTAAGGGCCAACCTTCGGGTTCCACCTTCGGGTAAATTTTACCTGTTAGGTAAATGTGGCGATCCATGCATGTGATTGGGTAATCTTGCTATTTACCTAACAGATAAAATTTATAAAAAGATGGAACAATCGGCCCTAAATTTTAATAATTATTGCAAAGAGAAAATATATCTAATAACACATACTCCAAAGATATCAAAACAGTCATCTCCTACATTGTCAGCGGTTGGAAAAAATGTTGCAAGTGCCAGCATTTTTACGAGTTGTGTGAATATGTAAATACCACCGGCTTGATTGCATTTCCAGAAGGCACCATACTCCGATCTGAAAAGATTTTCTTTCACATGTATCCCTTAAAAAGAGGTTAGAGAATCGAGAATACAAGTACTTACAAGCCAGAATATTTGTAAGTTAAATAGTATGGTACATATACCAATGCCAAACAATTTCCGAAGTGATATAGCGTCATTTTTCAGTGATATTTAATTAATTTGTGATATTATTTAAGAAATGAATAAATTACAATGTGAAACTACAAACACATCATGACACACTACTACTTGACTAGACACTAGAGACGTAAAAACGTAGAGACACTGTTGTCTGTAATGGCAGAGACTCGGAGAGTAACAGGAGTGGACAACTGGACTTTTTATTTGTGCACCAAATCTCATAGGATAATGTCCACGTTATTGTGGTTCTCTTCCATACTATTACGTGATTAGACAAAGATAAAATAATCAGCTTCGATTGTTCCTTGTCTAACAGTATATAAAAAAGGCCAAGTGTTCACACACATACACACACACACACACACACACACACAATCTCAGTTTCTCTCTGCTACTACCTTGCATACAAAAGTTGACTAGAATCGGTTCGGATCGCGACATTCGCGACTCGTATTAGAGACTGCCTATTATTGACTACTATTACTTTACGGCACGTGATTACTCTTGTATTTTTTATAATTCTTTTTAGTTGCACGTTACAGTGAAATAGGATACATAATTAGGCATCAAAGAGAAAAGGAGAAAAGATAAAAAATATAATAAAGTTCGAAATTTCGAATAACAAAGAAAAAATTTTGTGTCGCAAACTGTGGTGAACTCATAAAGCTCGATCATTTTTGTGATTAGTGCTCTGTGGATAAAGGATATCTCTGCTTGAAACTTCAATCCTAACCTAACCTAACCATACGACCGGTTCCGCGTTATAACCATACATTGTGAGAATGGTTTGATAAAAATCTCGTTTTTTTTAAACTATGTACGCAAAATTTTTAATAAGAAATATAAATCATATTTTTTAAATTAAAAATTAAAACGTTATCTTTTTATTTTCATCAAGTATCTCCTAATAAAAAAAAAAAAATAATTGAACCTGTTAGGTTATACAGAAAGGATATATATTTTTTATTGATTTTGCGATTACCCGTCATATTAAACATTGTTTAGTATGATTTATCACATGTTACATTATTATAACAAATATTTATGTCAAAATAAATTATATTTTTAGTAATTAAGGAATGTGTTCTAATAATTAAAAAATTTGAATACAAAAGAGTCAAAAAAGTTCGATTATAAAAAAGTTTGATTATAAAAAAAAGTAGTGAAAATGTAACATACCTTCTGACTACTATTATTCAATTTACCATTTGGTCTTTTCATAAAAGATTTTCCTGATGCCATATTACATAGTCCCCTTCTTTTATATTTTAACCCCTTTGAAAGGGGTACAGCAACCCCTTTCCCCATAAAAAGGGGTAGCTGCTAAAAAAGGGTGTTCTAGCAGCAAAAATATTGACTGTGCTTCTTTAGCAATTTGTGACTTGTGTTCATTAAAATGTTCATGTTTTTCATTTAAATAAGTATTATAGATGCAGTATATAGGTGTCTTTAGATAAGTTAAGCTAAGGTACATCAATAATACAAGTAAGTTAGTTACTAATAAGATATCTATCATCTTTACTGCATAAATATTAAACTGGTCAAATTTTCTCCTGTTTTCTGTTTAAATTGATAGGATACGATACATGGGATCTCGACTGCTCCGTCCGAGCATGCTCGGTATCCCAGGGACTGCTGCTCGCTGTCCCTCTCCAACGTTCCTTACAGAAGATAAACTCCTGGGGGTAGGTTGGAAGCTGCTTGTGATTGGGCAGGATAGTATTGGATCTACCCCGCAGACTACTCTGCATGGAAAGGGTAGCTCAGTTCGCCACAGGCTGTTGTTAAATCTACTTCGTAGTGTGTCTGATATTAAACAGTTGTCAGGATACCAGGATTAAGTGAACTAGTGGTAGCTTTGAAAGTGTGTAATAATTTGAAGTGTATATATTACACATCAAAAATTATTTATCTTGTGAAAAACTTGCAAACTGCTTTTATAAGAGAACAATATTTGGTTCTATTTTATTTTTTTTGTACATTTATATATATGTATTATCTGCTTATGTTTATGTCTTTAAAAATTACTTTTAGTTCTCTAAAAATGGACCACAACAATTTTCTATAATATTTACAATTAAATATGATTAATCTTTAGCTATAGAAATAAATAAATGTGTAACTAAGAATACATATGTAGATGCTTTGTATTTTTCAGTGAACACTTCTTTTAAGCATTCTGATATATTTTCAAATAATCTTGGATATATAATTTGATAGATATTAAATATTATCTTTATATCATAACTTTTTAAAACTGCATTTATAAAATTATTAAAATAATTACTTATCTACTGAAGTATACTGCTGAAATAATCCATAATGAAATATCATAATATTAGTGAGAAAAATTTTTATCCCTCTCTATCCTTTCAACCCTTCCCCCTTTTCATCCCTTGAATGAAAAAAAATGCTCACCCCTTTCACGTGATCAATCCCAAACTACATGTACTAGAGTGTTGTATTCTATTTATAAAAAAATATGAAGAGATTGTTAAAAGAATTAAAGATAAACGATACAATTTTATACAAATAATTCTTCATAAGAATTATTTAAAAAGTAGTAAAACAGTAAATTTGTAATATCAACATAACATATATGCAATAAATATTATTACTTTTTTATTATATGAATATTTTTATAATAAATATAAATTAAAGGTGTCATTTTTTATAATAAATGTAAATCAATTAAAATATGATATTTACAATATTCTAAATTTACATATCTTTTTATGTTCCTTAGAAATGAGAAATGGGTGAAGTTTACATTCCCTATTGCTTTCCATACAAACTTTAGGAAAAAGGATAGTCAGTTTTATGGTGGAATTCAAGAGTGAAAGAACGTGTACAGTAAAAGAAATGTGACTGATTTTTCAATAATTTTTTAGTAGATATTTTTCAATGTTTTTTAGTAGATTTATGATGTATACGTATATATATGATTTTCATTATTTTGTTTTAATTGTTTTTGCATAAAGAAATACTATAAATCTTTGAAATAAATATAATACTAATACTATTTATTTATATGTATATTATTCTGTGAAGTATATACATATATATTATGAAAGTAAGTCTATATAGAAGGTAAGTCAATTTATTTCTTAAATTTTTACTTTTAATATTTACATATCATTGCATTTATATTTGATGTTTACATATCATTTATATGTTATTTAACAAATAACCATAAAAATTATTTTTGTAAAAATTGTTTCTTAAGTTTTATTATTAAATAATATTTTTTTAAATAAGAATAAGTATAATCTTTATCACTTTATTTCTTTAACATTTTTTAAAAAATCGATTTATATTTCTAAGATACATGTTTCAAATGATGTCCGCACGATGGCGTTACAATTGATTTCCAACTCATGCATTGCAACGTTTATTTCCGCAGTTATAATTATAGTACCTCATAATTACGCACAGATGACGTGACCAGTATTCTTATGAAATATTTTTTGATATAATTGTAAATGTATATTTTCTGTGAATATATATAGTCAACTCTTAACAGTAATATTAGGATAAATCTAATTTATTGTAACATATTTTTAAAATATTTGTAATATATTTTAACAAATTTTTTTTAAATAATTGACATTTTATGATATTTTATAAGGTTTTACTTTTCATATATTTGATTTCATATATTTGATTTTTTAAAAATATAAAAATTTGTAAATTTTAAGTTTTTCAAATATTCATCACGTATATTAAACATTATTTTTCACAATTTTCTCAAAAATGACGAAACATTTAAAAGTAATGAATATATTAAGAAAATAACATACAATACAAATTATATACTATTACAATATATTTTTTATTGTTTACATATAATTAACTCCTACTTTTGCAAAAATGTAAGCAATTTAGAATCAAATTAAGATGTAACTAATTTTAACCCGTCCTTAATGTTTTATAGTTCATTCTTTTTGATCAAATAAGTCTTATCTATTCCCCACATTTTTCATCAATTGTGCACAAACGGTTCGTTTATTTGAACTTAAAGCTTCCTCAGTGCTTCTCTTGGATTTACCTTGGATTTAGATACGAAGGTTTCGATCCTGATGAGAATAACGGCACGTGCGTCACTCTCAATCCCGAATTTTGCACTTTTGTCTCCCTTCTTCTTTGATAAGTCCACGTATTCAATATAGGCGTGTTTGCATTTCTTTCTCCCTGGGGATGCTTACGGGACGGTGCGCAATTTCGGAAAGCCGATTTCAATTCCGCTCTCCTTTTTACAGGGAAAAGCGAAAGCTCGAGCGTGGGCGGCGCAGGATTACGAGAATCGCACAGACAGGCCTGTGAACACGTGCGAAAATCTCGTGTGTCGACGTTTGCGCCCATGTCATCGATCGTTCTTCCGTTTAGCGTTTCTCGCGTCGGGAAAATCCGATTTCTCTCTGGTCCTCTCCTCATCCCTCCGGTAAGTAACACGACTTACAAGAGAAGCGCATGTTAGGATATACATTCACTTAGCGAAAATTTTTTTGGAAAATAAAGAGATTTATCAAAAATTTACATAAATTTTTAAAAAATCCTTCTTTTTTATTTATCTAAAATTATATTCAAAATACAACAATATCTATATTATAAAGGGCATATAATAAGAGTCAAAGAGTAATTAATTATTTTGAATATTAAGAGTCCTGTTTGTACTATTATCTGTCTCTTATCTATTTTTTAAAATTATATTCTTCTATTACCAAAATGTCGAACTTAATTTGGTATGCGAGTATACGCATGTGTATAAGTGTTTATTAAATTATTTTTTTAAGACAAAACGTTTTCTTTATTTGTATTACGTGAAACTAAACAAATATTGTACATAAATTATTATTAGAAAAAATTGTCATAAACTGTATTGTAAATTTGGGTATGCATTTACGCTTTTTTCTATTGACGCTACGTTAGGGTATAACGATAAACTTCATTTCCGATCTTCATCATTTTCATATATTGTCAACTCCATTCTTTCATATTCTAGCTCTTTTGTACATCGGAAATGTCTGTCCTTTTATGTCGATTCTCAATCTCGATGCTTTAAGGATCGTTCAGCTTTCCGCACAA